CCTCCCTCTCATCCGTGCGCACGTAGTGCTCGCGCAGAAGCCGCGCTACACGTCCCCTCTTCGTCTTTCGGTAAATCACGCGGGGCATCGAGATGAGTCGCCCATCTGCTGCTGGCTCCCCAACCCTCTCCATTCTTTTGATTTCTGTCATTATTTTTTCTTTCTTTTTATTTTAGTTTAGACAGCACCTCTTGGCCAATAAAAGCGTGTCATGCTGTTAGTGTGGTGGCATGTTGTTGGAACATTTGGAATGACTTGATGTTGGGTTGAACCTTGATCAGCATGCCACTGTCCTCCACCAACTCTGCAGTGATGATGAGGGCATTTTTGACACCTGTAGAAGTTGCCCCAGTTGCTGACTTTTTGAGTGTCAGTCAGAGGATTGTAAGGTGCGTGGTGGTGTCGTTCCTTAAGGACAAAACCGCGACCAGTGATGCTCTTCCTCAACACTCTCAACAGCGCCAAGCACCCTAAGCGGCCGCCTACAGCCCTCATGGCGCTGATCTTCCTGCACACGTGCCAGTGCTCCGCCGACCCTGCAAGCAGCAGTGGTAACCGTTAGGGAACTGCTCCCTGAAGAAGGTCCCCACGATGGGCAACGCGCTCGAGTGGGTGCCAGTCAGAAATCAATCCACGCTCGGTCAGCTCGCCTTGTGCGTACCGTCGGAACAGCCGACCAAAGTGGGCCAGCCAAGGCCTGCCCACCACACAGATTGACATGCGCGCACGCAGCACGAGGTGGTCGATGACGGTGTGGTTGTTCTTTGGTGTACTGTCTGCAATACAAAAATGGTGAAAAATTACTATCGGCCACATGAGTGACCGGTGGTCTCGGGTAATCTAGCCCCGCCGGGAGCCTGCTGGAGAGAGAGACGGTCATCATCAGGTCAGCGCGGATGGTGGTCGGGGGCGAAACGAAGAAGAAGAGCCGCGGGTACCCCAAGAGGCCGGTACGAGGCCCGGTGCCCGAGGCTGTGGCGGGTCGGAAGCCGCCGCTGCCGCTCGACGACGCGCCGGCAGACTGCGGTGGTTTGCAAACGTAAGCGAGTGAGCGAGTGGCGATGGACGTTGAACACTTTGGGGGGGGGGAGCGGAGTGGAATGGAGAGTACTGGACGGGGCGAGAACTGCGAGCGGCCAATGGCGTCCAGGACCGCGACCAGCCTGCCAAAGGTCGGCGACTGCATGGCAAGAAGGTAAGTGCCCTCCATGGAAGCGTCGTTTCG